TGTTATCAGTGAGCCAATATAGACAATGTAAGGGATTTAAGTTAAACGATCTAATGGTTTTTAACACAGTTGTAGATACATTGGTTGAGGTGCAACAATCCAAGTCTTTCATACTTAGGATTGTGATAATAGGTTCCTCTTTGATTGTATTCCAATGTGCAACACATACTAAGAAGATTTTTTTATCTCCTCTTGTGCTTTCATCTGCTAGGATTCCATATGAAACAAATGTAGAAGTGGAATTTGGAAGATTTTCAATAATTGCAAGTTCTGCCACTTCTTTATTCCATCGAGATAAAGTACTTTTTGAAACCCAAGTATCGGGGGAATGACCAGTCAGAAAGGTAAAGACTTCTCTTGTGCACTGGGTTGTTGAAGATAATGACATTTGACCTATATTGCTAATTTGGGATATCAGAGCAGTAAACTCAGGCGTATAGGTATGTTTATTCTCTTTAATCTTTTTTGTTATATTTTTTTGGATCTCTCCTTCTGATACATTTTTTCTTTTCGAAACTAATGATCTCATTCATGAAATATAAATATCTCTATTTTGTTCTTGTTTTTTTAGTTTGATGGCCAGAGTTCTCTTCTTCAAAGTGGTTGATTCAATTTTCTTAGCCAACTTTTCATTTTCACTCTTTAATAATTTTAGTGCCTTTTTTTTGTAGGTATGATGAAATAATTTCACCCTTATTAATACCATCAGGATAAACCATAATTTCGAGCAATTTAGAACATGTAAAGATTTGTTTTTCTGGTAATGAATTGATTTTGTTTATTAATTTTTGCTTTACTTCTAGAGCCTTATTACTTGAAAAAAAGTTAATTAGTAAATTTTATGATGTCAATTAGTTTTGATCTACATAGTCTATCATACAACCCAACATGTTATGCAATTTAATATTAAATACAAATTATAAATGACTGATTAAAATAATTAATTATACATCAAGTTATAAAGAAAACATAAGCTGAGATGAATGATTAAAAGAATTAATAATTATGTCAAAAAACTGATGGTTCAAACATTTATGATGAAAAACTGGCCATTCAAATTACATTACAAACTGTATTTCCTGCAACTTTAAATTTCCACCTAAGTTCCTTATATGTGATTGATGAATTCCTTTCATGAAATTCACAAAGCTGTTTTTTCTCAACCCAAGTCAAAATTTTTCTTTTTTTGTTTTATTGATCAATTGATGACATTTTCATTTTTATTAAATATTCAGCAAATAATTGAAGTAAAGAAATACCAAGATTGTAAGGAAACCCTTTTTCCTTACATTAAAATACTAATTGTTTTAATTATTATTAAAAATACAAGTTATCTTTATTAATTATGGAAAGCTTATCTTTTTATACAAAAATGCATAATATAATATTACAATTAAATAAATAAATTATTATCAATCATAATAATAATATTTTAGAACTTACCAAAAGCTGCAGCACTTAATTTGTAACTCATATACATAAAGAAAATAATATAAATAATAATATAAGTAATAATAATATAAGTAATATGGGGCGTGGACTGCAAAAAAGGCCGAATTTTTATAAAACATGTTTTTGAGAAAAAGGGGTACAAAATTGCAGATCTTCCTAAGATTTAATATGTCATATAAAACAATTTTCTTGAATATGTCATGATTTTATTATGCAAGTGTGGGTATACTTCTAAGCCAAAAAGATTGTTCGCCTCAATTTATATATTATTGAATTATTATCCCAAAAATTACCAGGAACCAAAATTCGGCTTTTTTTGCTGTTCATGCCCCATATAAGTAATATAATTAATAATATAAGTAATATAAATAATAATATAAGTAATATAACAATAATATAATAATTAGTAAAGTTGCATAGTAACGTTTCGTTTTAATTTAACGCGTTACGCGAAATAAATTCGTATTACTGTGCCACATTACATATTTGCAATTAAGAAATGTTGCAAATAGAATCTTACATATTAATATTAATAACAAAAAAAGTAATATAATTTACAATTGCACATCATTGTTTTAAATTTAAATAATAAATATAACAATGATGATGATAATTGTATTGTGTCTCTTCAATTACTTCTTAAACAGACACAGTGCAATGTGTCCAAAGAAGGACAAGAAGTGAAGTGTGGAACCATTTCACAGTTGTAGATGGAAAAGCCAAATGCAATTATTGCATGAGGTAAATATTTTTTTGGCTTTCAAAACCATTTATTTCCAAAGGCAGCTCTTTTAAAATTCAAATTATTTCATATGGTATATATTTGAATTAGATTTGAACCATGTCAAATTAAACTATTTATATGTTCAAAATCAATTCGAATCATGATCCAAATAAAACAAATCAAAAATTGGTGATTCAAATCGATTCAACCACATTGATTTGCCCAGAGACTTACATGTAGAAGCATGAATTTAATAAATTTAATAATAATAATATATGTACAATTAAATAAATCAATTTGTTTTTACTATTCTATAGACTTGTTCAGAGTCTTACATGTAGAAGCATGAATTTATTTTATAAATTTAATAATAATAATAATATGTACAATTAAATAAACTAATTTGTTTTTACCATTCTATAGACCTCACATTCTTCTATCAAATGAATTTTTCTACTTTTATTCCTGAGATTTAAATTATTTTCATAAGAATCCAAGAAATTAATATAATAATAACAATAAGGTTCATGATTAATACTATTACATAATTGTAAATTCCGAAAATTTATAGTTTTTTCATGAAATTCTATATTATCTAGAGTTACACTAATCTTTTGTTTATTATCATATATTGCACGTTCTGGATCTATAACTCTACTTAATATCGAATCATTTATCTGATTTTCGTCAATTTTGAAAATAAAACTTTTATCAGTTTTAATCCAATACCCATCTTTTATATTCCAACCAACTGGATTATAACCACCAACCAACTCTCCAGTATCTTTAATTTTCATAATGGCTACAGTTTGTTCAATATTATAACATTTATTCTCAAATGCAGTTCTAGAAAATCCATCTTGAGTGCCCTGAAAAATTAATTCAAATTTATAAGGTATATTGTTTTCATTATATAAACCATTTTTATAATCAATCCAACTTGAAATTAGAGATTTCATTTGTAAATTTAATAATTTTCCTGTTTTTGTTATTGTTTTTGATCTTGGGCCTTTTTGAAGTAATAGTTTTGGTTTCCATTTATCACTAATATAGTATAGAAAAATTTCCTCATATACTTTTTTATCAAAAACTTTTTTAAATGGTAGAATTTTATCAGAAAAATCATTTGAAGAGATTTGATTGAATCTTATTAAAGGAATAAAATCTTCTATTATATTTTTTAACACAATGAAATCCTCTTTCTTCCACTCTGAAATGTCTTTGTCTAATTTTTCATTTTGATTTTTTCCCCATTGAATGACAATATCCCAAATATCAATTTCACTTAATTCCAAGTCATCTCTTTCTAACATAGTTATAAGCATGAATTTTTCAATTGTTATAATGTCATTAGATTTAAAAAATAATTCTGAATTTTTACTAATTATCTCACAACAATAATCTTGAAGCAATTTGAATGATTGATGACGTGATGAAATTTTATGGGCATAAATTAAATTCAGTTGAATCCATTTTTTTTCTTTGTTAATCAAATAGTCTTGTAAATCATTAATTAATTCATTAAAGTTTAATTCATCACATGCTTCAAGAAGTTCAAAAATTTCATTTCCATCCAGATTATCTATATTAAGAGTTCCATTATAAATATATCTATAAAATAAAATAAAGTAATTTAAGTTATATATTATAATCATTTAATTATTAATAAAAATTGAATAATCTTACGTTAAAAGAACCTCAAATATATTTGGAGAAATGTTTTTTTTTTTAAATAACATAATACCATCATCAGATTGTTTTATCCAATTGCTTGATAAAGCAGCTTCAAAATATGGAGACCTTGCTTTTAAAATACTAGAATGAGCTTTAAAAATCTTAACATCCTCATCTACTCCAACACTAATTTCTACATCACAAAAATCAGACTCATTCAATAACTTTGTTAAATCTTTTACAAGTTTCCCAACATATTTTAATGGAAGGGCATTGTCGTTGGAATTGATAAGGTTGTTAAATAATAAGTTTAAATTTTCCAATGATGAAAAGTAAGTTGACATTTTGTTTGTATATAATAAATAAAAAAAATTTTTTGTTGTTACAGTTACACAATAATCTTAATTAACAAGAAAGATCATACCAAATTAGAAATATATACAGTCTGCTCTCTCTATAACGACCACTAAGTAAAATTTCTCTATAACGAACTTCCCTTTTGTCTCCGTTTCAATTTTTTATAATTAATTCCTCTCTCTACAACGACCATCTTAATAAACTCTCTCTATAACGACCAAAAGCAGAGAAATTACATATAGGGACAGAGGGTTCGTTATAAAGAGAGTGAACTGTATCGGAACCACTATCATCATTTCAGGAATTACCGACATTGTGTAATTGCAAGGTCCCAAACAAAAATATGGATTTGGTATGGGTTATGCCAAAAAGTTGTAAATTGGTTCAAATGAACACTTTTATATGAATCAAAGCTAAAATAACAATTGTAAATTTTCATGAAATATCTGATATTTGTCAATTTTAAAATAAAAATTTTATCTATTACCCATCATTTCTTTTTTATTCCAACAAACTGGATACTCATCAACCAATTCTCCTATATCTTTAATTTTCATGATGCCTTCCGAGGGAATCCTTTACCAATTTACGCTCTTTAAAATTTCATTGAAATAGAAAAAACATTCAATTCTTTGTTCGATAAGCAATTTTACAATAATGTGGGTGTCTAATATTTATAAACCTAATAATTATTTTATTTTTTATGTCAGTTAATAAAGTAGTGATCTTTCACCGCCACAGTTTGTTTACATTTATCCGTGAAAATGAAATTTGACCATTCGAAATTCAAATTACCAATCAGGATTTCATATTCCAAAATTTCACAGTTTCAATTTCGCATACAACATTCTCAAATACGATGGCTAGATAAAATCAATTTTGTCTAGATTATATTTGGTTACCAATTTCCAGTTGTACAGTTGAAAGAGGTTTTTCTTTTTACCATCTTGATACTAATCGGCAAAATCTGTCTCAAGATATTTAACTATGATGCATTTTAATTCAAATTAATTAACCCTTACTTTTTTTAAGTTTATTTATTCACCTTTTTATTTTTATGCCTATTATATTTTTATGTGTTATAAGATAATAAACGTTTATTGTAAAATCTTACACTTTTGCAAAACAAGATGCAAAATTAGGTTTGAGCACAAAAATATTTTACCTCATGTCACAGGAAAAAAATCATACCCCTTGCTCTCTCATCTTTAATTGTTATTATTGTTGTTGTTGTTATTGTCGTCGTTGTTGTTGTTGTTGTTGTTGTTGTTGTTGTTCAGGGAGGTGGTAACGGATTTAAGTAAATCAGATGGTATTGATAA